AGCTAATCATCATAAATTGTTTTTCAGTGATTTCATTTAGAGTCTCATCAGAAGGAAGTTAAAAACTAGGTTATCGTGATGTTTGTGTACTCAACCATACAGGTCCTTCTGAAAAAATTAGCATACTGTGATAAAGTTCATTATTTTCTGTAATGCACTGATTGATTTTGTTTATCCCCTTTTGACACTAAGAATAATGGCTTTGTATTTTAATTTTAATGTCAGTATTTTAAAACAAAAATCAAATATCCACTCATTTCTTGTTTTTTAATACCCGTTTCAAAAATGAAAATCCAATGACCAAAAGATACACTGACCAAGGTGCAAAACCAAAAGCTTTAATCTAAAAATAAAAAGACAAGACAAAGGTCAGGTAATAATGCATCCATTCCTGGATTTCCAAAGAATGAAAGCACATCTCTTATAATTTTCAGAAACTATATCATTTTTCTTTTCAGTAAGGTTTCACGAACATTTTCTCTAACAATCCACCACCATAGAAAACTGTTGTTTAAAAAAAAAGGCTGGACAAAGAATTAGCACTAAACTGCAAATGTCCTGACATGATGTCGCTAAACAAGTGACAAAAACTTCAGAGAGACAATAAACTGGGAGCATTATCTGCTGACTGCGCACACACATCCCTGACAATATTCAACCATATGTTCTTTCTGGATGCACACACACCCTCCTCCAAGTAATAGGCTTACGTCTAGGCATACAGTAATCTATGTTTGAAGAATCTCAAACAGACGAGACATCACAGCCTCCTGTCAAGGMGTGATGATGCATCATAACAGCTGTTTGCAAACACAAACAGATTTAAATTTAAAAGAACCACTGTACATCCTCAAAAAAGACTATTCTCTTCATTACRGTTTGTTTTTTAATCCTGAGCTGCACTTATTGTGTGTGTTGTGTTGTTTAATGTGTAGCTGAATGTGAATGAGTAAGTGTAAGTGCGTGTGTGCCTTGTGAAGCATCCAGTGCAAACGTCAGCGATACCTGCCACAAACTCACTTCCTTGTTTCCATGGACACCGTCAGCAGAGAAATATCAATGAGCGACAAAAAGGGAGTGAAGGAGGGAGGGGGAAACCAGGCAGACAGAGTGGGGGAGAGGGAAGAGTTGTGGATGACATGGAGGACAGTGTAGCTCCTGCATGAATATAAAGGTGTTTCTGAATTTCCTTTTACCTGTCATCTTATGTCTAGTGCCCACCGACGTGTTCAGCAGTGTGTTTTAGTGAGAGTTGGCTGGACATGTGATAAATCACTATTTTATGTACTTTGACCAGGTAATATACAATTAGTAAGGTCAGTGAAACACTCCTTCATTCCTTCCACCTTTGCTCTTTTTGTCTCTATCCCCCAATGGCCAGATGGAAAGAAGGAAGGTAAGAAAAAGGAGGACGTGGAGAAAAAGGAGGGGGTGAAACAGAATGCAGAGAGGAGAAGGGCAACGAGGACAAATCTGCGTTAGTCCCTGTCAAAATGCTGACAAGTACTCAAGGGCACACACACTCACTCACTGTCTCTCTCTCTCTCTCTCTCGTACACCATTAAACCCACTGGGAGGTCGAATGGAAAGGAGAGCGGTACTTTGCATGTTTTTCCCCCTCTTACCTTTGTCCATTAACTGGTTTAATAGTGACACATTGGAGAAGAAGAAGAGGTAAGCAAACATCTGAGCCTGGATTTCTGGGTGGACCAGGTAGCCCTGCAGAAGYTCCTGTGCACTCTGAAACACCTGTGTGCACAAAGAAACCCCACTATTATAAAAAGACATMCCCATGCTAGTATTGCTTTATGTAATTTCTTATAAATAATATGCACAAAGAACAGCCACAACATTACAACCACCTGACTAAAATTATGTGGACTTGTGTCACAAGAGGACATTTTTCTGACACTTTTGGGCTTTTCTGAGTTTTGGAGATTTTGGAGGATTTGGTTTGCTTCTGTGCATCACTTTTTTTTTACAATAAGTCCACAGAAAGACGAGAGGCTGAAMGTTTAGAGATTGGGTCTCAGGCTTTTTGTTGAGCTAATACTTCCATCATGTTTGTCATATGTATCTAAGTGATACTTTTACAAATGCCAGAATCCAGTATTATTGGGAGGACATTACAATGCACATAACTGTTGTTCAGGTTATATTCAGGTTATGTTCAGGGTTTTATTGTTGTGGCTGAAAGTAAACATAAAATACATAATAAAGAATRTATTCAAACAGAATACTTTCTATAGATGTATTTATTTACCACTGCTTTTGTATGTAAATTATCCAGAAAAGTCAACATAATGTGAGTACATGTACATACAATGATAATTAAAAAGTCAAGTTGAAAACTATATATCCTCAAACACTGCTGTAACATATATAGCTGCCTTTTACAGGTGATTGTGTGTACATAATAAGAAATTTATTTGACTCAGACAGATGCTTTCTCATTTAGTCATTTACACATGTTTTATATAATAATCGCAAATGCTGCACATTTCCATTACAAAATCACACAAACCCTCAGCTGTGGTAAACTTGTCTGCTTTTAAGCTAATTTTGAGGTCATAGCTGGTGCTACATTACTGTTCATGTTAAAAATTATATCCACACAGCAGGTCGTACAGTTCAATTTAGATTTTTCTTTCTTTGCAAGATCGTTCACATTWTAATTTAAATGCAATGGACATCAGACTCCAGTGTGAACAGTCCACAGCCCTGAAACAACAYAGCACAGAAGATGTTGTGTTTACCAAACTAAATATGGATGCTACRCATTATTTTGAGTGGATAAATTCTAAAGTTGTTGCRCAGTCAGACTCATTATCTGCCATGCTTGTCCTTCTGAAATGGGAGTGACGTACTGAAAGTAGAGGCAAGAAACAAACTGAAGTATTGATCCTATTATCGATTTGATCCAACACTAATGTTGGTGTAAATATGTCACCCAGGAAAAGACATGACAAAAAAAGACAGACCAGCTGGWTTTACATTTTGTAGCTGAAGATGTGTGGAGTTCCAAGCTTTAAACTACATCAATATTATCATTATTAGGATCAATCGGTTTACCCCTACCTCAATGACGTAAAAGTCAAATAAAATGCAACACGACCATTCAAACTGCAGTTGCTTTGAGTATCATCAGATATGTATCTGATTTAATACCACATATGAAAATGACCCGGGTCACATGTACCGTACATGTTTTACCTACAGTGTGAACGTAGCCTAAATGTTCAATGTCTTGTTACAATTAAAAACAAAGGGCTGTAACCAGCTGCTACAAACATTGTGACATGTCATCACAGTGCAGAGGTCAGATATCAGCTCTTTTATACAGAAGAACAATATCTGAATTATTATTGAAGATTACAGTAAAACGACTTTATTTACAATTTCAGCAAAAAAAATTAAATAAATAAAAAAAGGACAGGTACAAGGCAACAAGATGTAAGTATTTTATGAGTCTTGCGTGTCTTTCACAAAGACACGTGCWTACCTGCAGGACCCGGCGCACAGGTTCAGGAAACCCGACACCTCCTTTCCAGCAGGGCTCAGAGCTGTCAACTGGAAATGGATTACAGTCCAACAAACCTGGCAACACCACATAAAGAGCCTGGGCACACACACAAAACAAAAATGTGTCACAACAAAACTACAGAATGATCATTTTTTTCCTCTCATCTAGCTATCCACATTTAGATACTTAAATTAAACCCTCTGTGAATAATATTGCAGTATTGTTAATCGTTCAGTTCATTATTAAAACCACAATATAAGGGACACATCACCTTAGTGATATAGTAGACACATTGCTGAAAAGTGTACATGATCACTTCTTCCAAGATAGTCATAGCCTCCTCATTAGCTGTTATGGTCGCAGATAGCAACGACTCCTTTGACCCTACAAATAGATGACAGAGACACGCTTAAGAGGTTTACAGTGAAAAGCAAAGCAAAGCCCAACGATGTGACATTATCTCCTGTATGTCAGTGTGAGTAATGGCTCTTCAGCCAGGTTGTTTCCACACTCACCGTTCAGACTTTGTGTGTGTGTGTGTGTGTGTGTGCGTGCGTGTGTGTGTGTACCTTGCAACGTCTCTATGCTGTGTGTGTAGGCTGGTGCTCTTTGCTGGATGAAGTAAAGGATCTCGATGGAGTTGGACATCCAAAAGAAGATGGTCTGCAAGTCTGGAATCAAGTCTGAGATACTGAGCAGAGACAGGGAGGCTGGATCCTGACTACATGGGCACAGACACACACACATAATAAGGCAATAGGTTAAAGAGTTAGACAGACAAACTGACACCATCAAAGTAAACACTACAATACAGCATACATATGCTTTAATTATTTCCAGCACAAGTTAGAAAGTGATACCCACTGCTGAGCTTGCTTCTGAGCCAGCTCCTTTGTCTTCTCCTGCAAAGTGCACACACATAGACCAATTAAGTTCCCATTAAACTTTTAGTAACTGCGTGGGTGAACTACATCTCATGCTGCTTTGCTAATTCACGGAGAGATCACCAYTATCATTTACAAAACCCTGGCCAACTCAGAATGAAATGTGTTTGGGTTCTAAAAGTAAAAAAATAAAAAATAAAACTATCATGTAACTTACTCAGTTAAGAAGCCATCAAGCCACGGAAACAACAATGACCTCATGGGTAACATCAGCTTAAAGGTAAATATTTATAATCTTGCAGACGTTTACCTCCATCACTTAAAAATGTCATAACTTGTTCTTTAAACCAACCTCTGCCCATTAAATTGAACAAGACTCGTTTTAGAACCCAGATACTCTTGTAMTGAATCTGAAAATGATGGGATTCAWTAAACATTMTGCTGAGTGGTGTCATTGCAGCCAGATATCATCAAAAGCAGAGCAAACTACCGCTGTCTTCCACAACGATTTGTGTTGAGATACTAAATAAAATCTATTTCTAGATTACCTTTGCTGTAAAAGTCAGATGATTTTATTTCTTCTGAGTAAGTCATGAAGCTGTTGATATATTTCTGTATCAAAGCTCGCAGAGTTGTTGTGTACATTTATACAAGAGACTGCAGTTCTCCATGATCAAACACATCTTTATGTACTTTAAACAAGAGAAATAGAAAACTGTAAATAATGAATATGACATGACTTTCATTCTAAAGAGATGCTCAGAACATAAAGTGGCTGATGGGTATGTCAATGCAGGAGCCAGTAGTACATAAAAACAGAAATGTGCACCCTCATTACTGCTGCCAGATTATAAAGCTGTGCATCACAAAATTCACTTTTATTTCAACCAATTCTTTATACTTACAGAAATAAATACAGACACCCCTTATATTTAAGTATTTTAAAAATTGAAACATTTCTTGATTTTTAGTGTCAAAATCTAAACATTTAAAAGAGGGAACTTTCAGAATGACTTCAAAGACATTTGAAGCTACTCCTCCAATAATCATATTTTATCAGTCTAAAACTGTCATACCACTTGAGATTTGCTCATTTCATTACTGCTGCTGTTCTCTAAGAGTGCAAATGGTTTAAATATAAAGTAACAAAGGTGCAACGATTACCATTTCTGAAATTTATGCACCACTAAAAGGAGGGAAAATGTCAGAGAACATTCAAGAATATAAATGTTTGAATAAACACAGAGGTCACATCATTTCCCAACCAATTAGGGATACTTTTCTTTTAGTGGAAAATATTTCCGAGAAGACAGACAGTTAGAACCCAACATGGTATGTGGTGTAATTCAGTACAAAATGTGATGTCACCCTTTTCAAATATTCATCAGAGCTGACATGGCTGACTGGTTTCTCTACACAAAGTGATCTTAAACAAATACCAACGTATCACAGACAGACAGACAGACAGACAGACAGACAGACAGACAGACAGACAGACAGACAGACAGACAGACAGACAGGCACTGACCCATGCAATGGTTTGGATTCGTCGAACAATCTTCAACAGCAGTTTTCCAAAACTCCCTGGAGGGAAGGTTGAGGCAGAGTGTTGTATGCACAGACACAGCAGGTATGCTGGTGTTAGCTTGTGGTCATCTCCTGAATAACAAAGAACAAACTTTTTAAGAACATATTAAAAAAAGGGCGGCTGTGGCGAAGTGGTTAGGGGAGTCGTCCTGGAACCAGAAGGTCACTGGTTCAATCCCCCATCCAGCCATCTCAGTCGTTGTGTCCTTGGGCAAGACACTTCACCCACCTTGCCTACTGATGGTGGTCAGAGGGTCCGGTGGCGCCAATGCATGGCAGCCCCACCTCTGTCAGTGTGCCCCAGGGCAGCTGTGGCTACAGTGTAGTTTGCCATCATCAGTGTGTGAATGGGTGAATGTCTGTTAGTGTAAAGCGCTTTGGGGTCTGGAGGGACTTGAAATGCACTCTATAAGTTCAGTACCATTTACCATATTTCTGAAAATAAAAGTTCTTTATTTTTTATTATGTAAAAAACTTGCAGCTAAGATTGACCCGTTCTGGTAGAGCCTGTTCATAGAGTGACATGCACTGGAATCAGTTAGGAATCCTATTTAAACCCAACCTTGACTGAGACCCTGCCGCGCTAACAGCATTTTCTAATGACCTTAACRCAAACAAAATCATATTTGGAGTCAGCAATAATCAAATTAAACTGTGTGGATTTTGCTGACTCAGTCTCAATGTGTAGATATGCCGTCAGTGAGATATTCTTAGAGGGACCAGAGCATCTTGTGACCTACACAGCTGAATCTCAATAAATCCCCTGGTTTTTTAACAGTTAGTTCACATGGCTGAAGAAAAATCTTGGGGTGAGAGAAAAACACAAGAGGCACCTAAAGGATATGATAAAAGAAAGACTTTGGATTTGGCTTTAGGGATCTGAACTTTATGATTCAATGCATGCTAAATTTATGGCCAACAGGTCTTAAAAGGTCACTGTTAGTAYCAATAATATCAATTTAATGGGTATTTTATTCCTGTCAAATTAGTACTTTGACATTTTTTACTTAGAATAAAACACAGAAATGGAAACAAATGATAATACAATTTGTTAGAAACAAAGTGTCTAAAAGTCCATCCATTTTTTCTCATTGCAACTCACAAAAGGAATGTTTGCCAGCTTCATTGTAAAATGAAATTATAATTTTTCTAAACCTGTTTTGTCTTCATCAGAATCAAAGATGGAGAGTTACTGAARGCTATCCAGAGTTTCATCAAACAAAAGACAGAGGTTACAACTCCATCATAAGTGCTTAAAAATGTTATTTATTTGGTCACATTTATTATTTTTAGATCTTGTGTTTAGGTGTATTTTTGATGCTTAAACGATTCACATGTCAGGATTTAGTAACTTAAACATAAACAACAACAAAAAAACTAATGTTCTGAAAATGATAAGGTCTAAAGACTATACTAATAATTATTAAAAAAAACAGACACAATGACTAAAATGTTTAATAGCCTCAGAAAGCATCACAATGTCTGACTTTTCTGAAGCTAAAAGTAAAACCACCATGTTATCATAATTTCCACAGTACTGAATGCTAAGTTTWGTAAACTTCTCTAAACAGAACATTTGTACGCTCAGGTTACATCCTTTTGTATTTAAAGTAATAATAAAAACAGACACAAACCTCCAGGTTCTATGAGCGACATGATTCTGTTCAGCAACTGGTCTTCATGGGTCTGATCAAACTCCAGTTGTAGCCTCCTCTTTTGGCCYCCTCCTCCTCTTCCTGCAGCTTCACCTCCTGACAAAGGTGGCGGTCCTCCTGTTGCGATTCCCACACTGCGGGGTTTTACCAGGTGGGGTTTGAGGCAGCGTCTAACTGCCGGGACACTCAACACCTGCACGGCTCTGTCCTTCAGCAAAGAACCACACATTTTACAAGTCTGAGCCCCATCTTCTCCTTCCTCCCCCGCTGCGTCGTAAAGCTGCCCCAGTGTGCGCAGGCGTGCCAAGGTTTGAGCAGGCAGGGGCTTGGCACCTGTAGGGTCCTTGTACAAAAAGATGTAATGTGCTCCAAAGGAGAGGAGGTCGCCATGTCGCAGCGTAGTAGTTCGCTCGCAGCGGGAAAAGTTCACCAGAACTGTGGCGTTGAGCACGGGCTCAACAGCAACACAGAAACGCTGACTCTCTGACAAATCTTCCCCCTTGTTGTTGTTGGTATGCCGACGGGGTGCGGGAACTCGGCGTAAGCGGCAGTGGAGAGGGAGGATGTCAGGAGAAAAGAGGCAGATGTTTGGGCGAGCTGATGGAGTTTCTTGACCAACAGTGTGCTGCTCTCTGTTCAGCAAGTAAACCAGGCAGTCCTGCGAAACACCAGACAGTCAAAGTAATTGAAACAGACTGAGCAGAGGTGTCTGATGCAACACAGGGACATCCTCCCTGTCCTCACCTGCCGATTGTATCCCTGCAGCAGCAGGAGGTGAGGAGACTGGTACAGAGAGTGTCTCACTCCACCCTGACTCCCATCCTCTTTTTTCCTGCTGCTGGGGGTTCCATCGCGCTCTTTGCCCCTTACTGGACCTGGCAAAGTTGAGTAATAACGCTTGGGCTCCTCTCCCACTCCAAGCTGCAGATTCATGTAGTAAAACACACATGCATTCAAAATTGTGAAGAGTTTGAAACAGTTCAGCAACTAACGACAATCAATTATCCCAAGTGGGCGTCAGCAGGAGGCCCCACCTGGTTAAGGCTGGTTTCACTGAGGCTGCGGCAGAAAGATGAGTTGCTGGAGCGGGGCAGGGTCAGCGTCCCCTTTGCCCTGTTCCTCTGGAGCTTACGAGCCTGGGCATTAATRTCTATGAGGAGGCAGAGAGGAATGAGAAGTACAAAAAACAAGAAAGGAGAGAGAAGGACAAGAAAGGGGACAAGTGGAGAATAACAAAGAGAGATGAGGACAGAGAAGGGAAAGTGTAGAGAGAAAAGAAGAAGGTGTGCTTTAATTTGGTGTATCCATTTTTATTACCATGAATGTTTGACACATGATTCTGACAGTCATTTTTTCTGGCTGTAGTGGCACAAGCACATTAACATTTATGTGAGAGCTGGAACCAACAAGTCCAGGTTTGGGTGAATCAAAGTCAGATGAAGGAAATGATGCTGGATGGACCAACAACAACCACATGAAAGGTGAACTAAGCAGCTCCTCGTGACTCGAGCTGGAGTAATCTGAGGCCATGCAATGGCTCACRTAGATGTACTCACACATCACTGGCACATGGGGGTGACAACGCAGGTAGAGGTAGTCTTCATGACAATGACTGACAGCCACCCTACCTGAGGCCAGTCCCCACCTTTAGAGCTGGACTGTACCGCTCGACCAGACCGCAGGGGGGAGCTTCTGTGTTTGCCCAGCCCAGACCGACTCATTAGAGCTGCCAAGAACTGGGGGGTTCTGGGCCCTACAGCAGGGTGGGAGGGGTTAGGAGGGAAGGAGGGGTTGAGAAAACAACCCCGCACCCAAACACCAAGCACAGATTTACCCCCAAACACACAAACCTTTCGCACAACACAAGACATGCACTGTGGGGTGACACACAWTGGAAGTTAGTGTGCAGAGATGTACAATTAAAAGGTGGGACTCAGGRTTTTCCTCTTTAAAATGATAATCCAGATTTTTTGATGTGGGGTTTTGTAAAAAAAAGTTAGCAATTAAGATCTTACCTGTTGAATGACTTAATTTTGGAAAAGTAGAGCTTAAGTCTGACATGACTGATGAGCTGATGGTTTGTCATGAGGAAGAGAGACCAAATTTAATCACTACACACTTAATGCCAACTCTAACAGAAACTAACATATTTATTTTTTTTCACCTTTACGTTGCCGTCAATTTCACGACATCATTATTTACACAGAACTTGTGACTATGGTTATTTTGCAAGAACAAATAGCAGCAGTGGCATTTACAGTACAGCCTGGTGCACTGGCAGGAATAGCCTAGTATTTCCATCAACAAACCATGTAATGTTAAATTAATGGCAAAGTAAATGGTTATAAATAGTGTTCAAAGGAGCTTTAATTTTAGTTAGTTAGACTAAATGACTAAAGCAATCTACTTTAGTCCTGAATACACACATATCAGCCAATAGCTCAACAGTTTGGTCAGAATTAAACTCTATTAGTCCAATATGAGGTCAATCAATAGGCCATCTATAACAGGTAAGATAATAATTGTTCATTACCCTTCTACAGAATCCCACTTTAAAAAAGATGAACTATAGCATATCATTGTTTTATTAAAAACTGGCAAACTGGATATTAGTTTATTTCTCTACTTAAATTTGAAACAATTTATCATTCATGCAGAAATGCCTAATGAGTGTGCTCAGTATCATAATGTTCAATTTGTGCCAAAATCCAAAATTACTTTTTTCATGTCCACAATTACATTGCCAAATTTAGGATATTATGTGTTATAAATGTGACACTTTATGCTACCTGTTAACTGCTTCAACAATAACAACAGCAGAGTCAACCATAGACTCATTATATTAACAGACTAACTGTTCCTACCTTCTCTCACTGTTGGGCATTGAACTGAAGCCAGCAGGAAACAATTTATGGAGAATGTCATGTTGTAGTTTTAGAACCAGATTTTGTGCACTAGACATGTGGAGCTTTAAGTCCTCCTTTTCTGCATATACTCATAACAATATATGATCTTTCTTTTAGGCATAAAATGGCTAATTATAGTTAAACTTTTTTGTTATCAGAGATGTATTTTTATTATTTTTTTTTACAAAGGAAGTTGTCCTAAGCACATTAAAAACATGCATACTGATACAATCATGACATCTGAAAGCTGAATGGACAGAAAAATGTTTTGTCACTTGCTAGGTGGATACACAGCTCATAAGAGCATAATTTTGGCACAAATTATATTTCAGATTAAATTTTAGGAAGATAAACAACTAATTTGGCAGTAAAAGTGTTCATGATGTCAATGAAAAACCTGTGTTACCTTTTAAGTGTCATCTCATTTATAAAAGTGTATGTGAGAATACACACAATTCACACATGAGCATGCACGCTCACACATACACCAAAGGGGAAAAAAAAAACAAGACAAAAATTATAGCACAAAAAGAAAGAAACAAAGTCCAGGGTGCATGTTTWGTAAATAACAGAGAAAAGGTTAGTGTGAAATTAAAAACTTGTAATATGTGCTAGTAGTTTTATCACAAAAAGCATTCTTTGCTGCTTTATGATTTTCTTTGTTTTCCAACATTACAAAAAAGGGATTTCATGTTTCAGTTGTTAAAGTAACAAATTGTCTTTCAGAACAGCAGAAAATGCTTTAACAGGATAAAACTGCAAACAGAAGATTTTCATGTAACATAACCAAGAAAATACTAACATCAAGACTAGATTCATCTTTCAAACAAATTAAAACATGATGGAATATTTTTATGTACTGCAGAGTGTCTTTTGGGTCCAGAAATTAAATTAAATCGCTACACTGTGTCTCACTGGATAAAACCCATTACAAAAAATACAGCAGTTTACATTTTAGGACACTGTCTTGTTTCTACACAAAGTGTGTGTTAATTCACAACTAAAGTGTTACCAAATCAAGTTTCCATTTTTAATTTTGTAGAGAAAATATCAAACATAGTAACTTTGAGCCCAAATGTGTACACCCAAAGACATAAAGAGCACTTTTTGTAAACAAAACTTTATGATGTAAGTCAAAGTTTTTGATCATTATGGAAGAAAATGTGTCTCATTTTTATCCTTTTTACAGTCAGACAAACATCTGCCTGGATCAAGAACACACAGTTCTGCCCAGCTTTTAACATGATGACGAATTATTCACAGTGCAGGTAGAAACTTTAACAAAAAAAATGTACTTAAGAAGCTGATACTGAGTTTCTGAGTTTGCAGGACCCACTGGAAATGGGTATCTGTGCACAGGGAGAACATGCAAACTCCACCCTRAAAGGTCCCAGGCTGGGATGTCATCCTGCAACCTTTTTGCTGACAGACAACAGCTCTACCAACTAAACAAAAAGTTCCATAAATAACAAGCAGCCACTGCAGAAAGTACAACTGCTTGTTTTCTGTTCTGAACATTGCACAGTATTTGACCTCAGCCTCCGCATCCCAAAAGATTATAGAAGTTCCTCTCAACAGGTAAACCATTAAGAGCTTTGAAATCCAGCAGAAAAATTATTAATAATATTACTGCAATAAACAATATTGCAGCAGGAAGGTTCTGGCTTTGAAGCTCAGCTGAGGTTTTTCTGTGAAGAGATYACATGTTCTCCCCGTGCACGAATGTCTTTTCTCAAAGTACTTACTTTGTTTCCTTCCACAGACAAAAAATCATGCATGTTCCCTGGAGATTYTAACAGTGAGATTACTGTGTGTGCATGGTTGTTCATCTCTACTGAATGCTACCTCCGACCCGAAACAAAATCAACCGGGAATACAAAATTATTGGATAAAGCTAAAGACAATTGTGCTTTATCTATAACATTTTCAAGATTTGTAATATTCAGCCATAACAATAATAACAACTTCTGTTTTTATGGGCAGACAGATTCCTACACATTTAAACTGTGCTGTGGAGGATTAAGAAACAACTCTTTTTTATTAAATAAAACACTGCCGAAAAAAGTCTTTAAAGCTTACAAAACGTTCAGAGAGATGAGATGCAGAGATCCACAGCACTGAAGGCAGCAGTCAGGTCTAAAAGCACCAGAACAGCAGAGTTCCCCAAAATCAGCACTTAAAAGAAGGTCAATAAAAACTTTTAAAAGAGCTGAGTCAGCGCTATGGTAGTGTTAAAAACCTGACCAAAAGTTTTTTCATAGACGCTATTTTTAACCATTCAGCTATTTGCAGCTGAATAAGATCAAACTTTGTTTATGTGAGAACATCATAAATATGGCTACTCTCCAGAACAAGACTGGATTTCACCTACAATGTTAAAACCTCTTTGTAGTAAAAGATAAAAGTAACGGTAAAGCTGAAAAAAACAGATTTTTTAAATAATTGTTTGTCGTCAAACAAGACAATTATTTTGTTATAGTGGAATTAAAAAATTAAAAACAGTTTGTAAATAAAAAAGAACTATATTAGGAATTAAGTTGTATTAAAATACTATAGGAAAAATACAAAAATATTTACTGACACCAGCAGAAACAGTAGAAGGCTGCAAATTATCTTATATTACTGATATCCATTTCATGACAATAAATATTCAGAAAACACCAGTGTTTAGTACCATTTTCAATCTAAAATACTGAAATATACTGTTATTAACTCAGCTATAAAACTAAAAGTTATATAATGGACAAATTACTGGTGCCACTAACATCCAAATACAATTCAGTTATAAAGCATGGTGGTGGGTGCAGCATGATTTGGATCTGCTTTGCCACAATAAAAGTCTAAGCATCTGTCAATCAAAAATTGTAATTCTGAATTATAAATGGGAAAAATTTTAAAGCTTTTCAACCAGAAGTAACAAGAAATCTGATTCAATTATTTTTCCAGCCTGCCTAATAAATAATTTATTTAGATAAATTATTTTTGTGTAATTATAATTTATCTTAGGATRCACTAGTAATTCTGTCTGAAATACAAGTTTACAAACTTTTTCTTACTTCTGTATCTATTAAATTATTTATTTACAGGTCAAACAGCAAAAATATGGAGCTATTTTTGTAGTTTGCCATTTTTTTTTAGAAATAAAACTTTAAATATATTTATATTTTTATTGACCTGTTAGTTTCCTCTGATAGATGTAAGTCAGAACCTCTGAGGCTGCTCGATTTTTATAGCATTTTCATGCATTTCCTTTATACTTAAAACATATTTCATATGAATCAAGTGTTTTGTTTGTGCTCTGAGGCTTTCAATGTACAAAATAACACAAAGAGTTACAAACTATTAGAAAACACAGCGAACTTCAACTTTTTCATGAATCTAGGTAAACCTTTTTTACTGACGATTTTAATCTATTTTAGAGGCTTGTATTTTCCACTGTATTGTGTAAAAATATCCAACACTACCAAACAAGAGACAACTTATCTGATTGCTAGATAAACTCTGGCCGGCACAGAAGTTGACATAGCAACCAGTGCAGCCTGGCACGTTTCATAAGAGAGGTCGGTGTTGTTGGAAAGTGTGTTACTGAGGCTAAAAATGCTCACTAGGTCTCTCAGAAAACAAGCTGTTTCTGAGCACATGTGTGTGGAAAGAGCTAACTTTACAGCAAAACATTTACAAATACAGGTCATATTTTCTAAAGAGGCACACATAAAGACAAAAATAGTGTGGACTGCTGCATTGCAGATGTAAAGTCATAATAGTTGTTTTGAGTTGAGCTGCGTATAAGTTACTTTTTTTTCTGTGAGATCAACTTTGTTCACAATCAGTTCAAGCAGTTCAAGAGATTAGGTAAAAAAATAAAGAAGTAAAAATTAAAAATAAAGCTCACATCTATCCATCCTGTGTTTCAAAACCTTTAAAGAAATAAACTGGTAAACTGTTCATTTATCTGGGATGTATGACAGAGTGTGTGTGACAAATACTCTGTGCAGCGTCTTCACAGCGTCTTATTAAACCACACAGGAACAGAACCCTCTCTACAAGATAATGTGACGAAGGCTTTTATTCTGCATCACACACACACACACACACACACACACACACACACACACACACACACACAC